TCTTTCTCTCTCTCTTTCTCTCTCTCTTTCTCTCTCTCTTTCTTTCTTTCTTTCTTTCTTTCTTTCTTTCTTTCTTTCTTTCTTTCTTTCTTTCTCTCTCTCTCTCTCTCTCTCTCTCTCTCTCTCTCTCTCTCTCTCTCTCTCTCTTTTCTTTTTTTCCTTCAGGAAAGGAAATAACCTGGGAAGCAGGATATCGGACAAAGTTGGAAGAACCACTTGGAAACTCTCAGAGTGGGGCAGAGATTAGTTATGGTAGGTTGAAAGTTGTAATAACAGCCTCCCCTCACCTCCCTCGTATTTTAGTGGCTCAGTACAATGAAACTATTTCTCATTTACTCAACATCCAATGTGAATGTACCTAGTTGGGCAGCTCTCATGGACAGAGTTCCATGAGGCAACTCAGGAATCCTGGCTCCTTCTAATGTGTGGCTCCACTGTTTTGTAGAGCTTGTGAATTCTCCGGGGCCCTGGAGACCTCCACTAGATTGTCTACACCCAGCAGCCCAAAGAACGAAGGGACTACTTCTCGGCCTTTTGGCTAAGAGCAAGTGTAGTATCTGTTCTTATCAGTTTAATATCTGATATGTCCTATATCCAAAGAACGAAGGGGCGGTATGGAGGATTATGTACATTTTAGGAGCCAAGCGCAATGCCTGTGTCCAAGCCCATGCCCCCACTTAGATTCAAAGGGGGAAATGTGGTTCAGCCAAGTGCCCAGGAAAAGGGAGTGGAATTGATGGCTACTCAGTTTGGGTATGCTGCAGGACAGCAAGAGTCCCAGGAATACTTGATTTAGGAATTAGTTAGGCAATGCCCAGTGGATGATTATGAAAAGAGTAGATAGACTGGCTACTCTGAACCCCTATTTAACACTATCTAGACCCAGTGGACACTTTTTATGTGGCTATTCCTTCTGGACCAGGCTCAACATGTGCATTTCCAGCACAGCTTAGTAAAAAAAAGCATTAGGATTGGGAATGCCATTTGGGATGAGCTGGCAACAAGGATAATGCCAACTCGGCTCTGAGAATTAAAAAGAAGAATTAAGGTGAGTAGCAGAGACTCAGTTAGCATTGCTTTAACTTTCATGGAAAGTACGCAATGCCTCTCTAGAAGAATCCACCCAGTTCCGATGGGAATCTCTCACCTTCCTTTATTAGTGCCTGAAATTCCACCCTTAAAATCTGGCTCTTTAACTCCAAGAATCAGTGTTTTTCATTACATCACAAACTTTTTTACGCCCTAGTAGGAGTAACATAAGATTACTATCTCCACTAGCTCCTGAGATCTGATCACCCATTGCGGGCTGGGGATGAGTTGGAAAGACATTCTATAGGGATATTCTGTACTAATGAAAGGAAAGATGAGGAAGTTCTAGGGATAAACTTTGCTAACCTGACAAATTCTCTGACCCCCAAATAGAGACGCAAATGCCAACGAGGGAGATTTCCTAACATAATTAAAATAAACCAGTCAACTCAGAGGAAGTGGCCTATAATCAACTTGAGAGGCCAGGCAGGGTTGCATGACTCCAATCCCAATTAGGGAGGCTGAGACAGCTCCTGCTGGGATGTCAGCCTTCCAGCTCACAAATGAGATGGCCCACAGCCATTTTCCATTTCCTTTCTCCTGGGCCAAGATTCAATCTCTGGAGAAGAGAGTGAAGAAAGGAGGATTTCCTTTGATAATGATTCCCTGGAGGAATAGAAAGATGCAGAAAACAAAAAATCTCAAGTGTCCCAGGAAGAAAATTAGAAAGTGAGGCTGGCCTCCATGTTCTCCATGCCTTATACTTGAGATCTTACCCATTCTCCTTTCCTCTCAACCCTGTGAGCTTGCCATTTAATCTCTCTGATCCAGCATTTGTAAGATGGTGATAACTCTGTCCCATGTGGGACTACGTGTCTGTAGAAATCCCATTTACCTCCTCCTCTGGGTCCCCTTGTCTTTGATTTCTGTCTCTGTAGTTTCCATTGTTTACCTGTGGTACCTGGTGATAGTGACCTTCTTGGGCTTTTCAGTGACTGTGATATATTTGTTTTGTGCTCAACGGTTAGTGCAGTGCTGGCCTCTTGAAGTTGCCAGTAGATGAAAGTATGAATCAACAAATGAAGAAATGAATGAATGAATGAAAGCATAAAGGACTGTGTATCTCTGAGTGTCACTGAAGGTTAGAGTTTGTGTCTGTGTACCAGAGTACCAGCCTTTTGCAAGAGATGACTAGGGATGACTTTCAAACATTTCAGGGAGCCCGGTCTGTCGAAGGCAGGAGTGGGTATCTTTCTTCTGAGAGGCACCCACAGGGAGCTACAGTAGAGTAGTACATGCCCCTGCTTCCAAAGAGGGAATAGGAGGGTTCCAGGGTCAGGATATGCTCAACACATGCCTGTAGCTCTTGGCTTGGGTTTGTCTAGGGCCTCAGGCCTTTGAAAGAAGGTGATTGTCAGACACTGTGGGACCCCGTGCATGCTCTAATCTGGGGAAAAGCCTGCTCTGGGTCTGTACACCCATAACAGAGCAGCACTGATGACTTACTCAGCTAATAACCATTTGAAATTTTCTTGTTCCACCAACTGACCACCTTGAGAATGCCAGAGATTATGTGAGTAAATGTTACAACCAGATTTTTTCTATTTTCTCTTCAAAACCAGAGACTAAATATTGGTGTTTTATAATGACCTCTTTGAATCTCTCCAGAGATCTATTCTTTGATGGTTTAGTTAGGATCATAACTTTGTATAGTGGGTTGTGTGGTGGCCCCTCCAAAAGATATGTCCACGTCCTGATTCCTGGAACCTGTGAATGTTATATTTTTGAGAAAGAGTCTCTGCAGATGTCATTAAGTTAAAGATCTAGAGATGAGGAGATCATCCTGGGTTATCCAGGTGAACCCTAAATCCAATGACAAATATCCTTATAAGAGTGAGCCAGAGGAGGATTAGACATAGACATAAGAGGAGAAAACAACGTGAAGACAGAGGCAGAGACTGGAGTGACGTGACTATAAGCCAAGGGTTGGCCAGCAGCCACCAGAAGCTGGAAGAAGCAAGGAATGGAATCTCTCCTAGTGCCTTTGGAGGGAATGTGGCCCTGCTGACACCTTGAATTTTGGACTTCTAGCCTCAGAACTGTGAGAGAATAAAATTTCTGTTGTTTTAAGCCACTAGTTTGTGTTAATTTGTTACAGCACCAATAGAAAACTAATAGACTTTGGTTAAGATTGTGCGCTTGGCACAATGATCTGCCAAAGCATTTCCTTCAGTGTCACAAATGGTGTCAAGATCTTTTTCTGATATGTGCATCAAATATTATGGAGGAGGTAAAGGTATATCCACTACAGATACAACTTGATTATGAAGAGAAAAGTCCTTTGGAATCTCAAGAAATAGTCCCTCCGGTGTATATTTAAATTACAGTAGTCCCCCAATCCTATCCTCATAGAGGATAGTCCTAAGACCCCTAATGAATGCTTGAAACCATGGATAGTACCCAACCCTAAGCAACTTCTTCAACTCTGCTGCAAATGTGGCAGCAGCTTCTTAATTGGCAGATGCAGCCTCTCTAGTAATTTTCACATTTTTTTAGTCCAAACTTGTTCCTGAATCTGTGTTACTATCCCTTACTTGCAGTAAATGGCTTGGTGTCAGTCTTCATATAGGCTCAATGCTTTCTGTCACAACACGTTACTGTCAATCAGAACACATTTTCTGTTCATGTCTTCCACCCACAAATTTAATGCCTTTGCATATTAACTAAGCACTTATCACATACTGTGGCTGTAACTTTTACAGTTTGAGGTGTGACAGCAAAAGTAGCAAAATTTTCTTGTTTCTTTGTCACAATTTCATGATAGAAGATTCGTTCTTACCTTATGTAGATCTTAGCAACCTTAGCATATTGTTTTTTTCCTTTCCTTAGTAAGTCAAGAACTTTCAACTTTTCACTTAAAGGAAGCACTTTATGGCTTCTCTTTGGCATATCAGAATTGCCAGTCATGATTTTTGCACTTTGGGCCATTATTAAGTAAAATAAAGGTTACATGAACACAACACTGTGATACTGAGACAGTCCATCTGGTAAAAGAGCCTCCTCTTTAGTGACTAATAGGCCAATGTGTGTGTGTTGGGGGACGGGAGTAGGGGGTGGAGAAAGGGAGCGTCCACAGTGTGGAGACGCTGGACAAAGACAGGGATGAGTCACGGCCTGAATGCAAGGGAGTTGGGTTGTGAGATTTTATCATGCTTCTCCGAATGGTGAATAATTTAAAACTTAAGAATTGTTTATTTCTGGAACTTGTCATTTAATATTGTCACAGTAGAGTTGACCACAGGTAACTGAAACTGTGGATAAGGGAGGACTACTGTACACTCGCAAAGTAAGTATTTTTGTATTAATTTACAGGGATGATATCACAGAGCAGGAAGGAAAAAATTTCAGTCAAGGGCCCCAAGGGTTACTGTTATGGGCTGGGAGATAGGGAAATTCTGTGAACTATTAGAAATATCTGCCACCTGTGTGGTATGTTTACTCTGAGGAATAAGTTGAACAAAGCAGGGTTTATTAGAGAAATAACAGCACCCATATATACTAGAAATTGATGAGGATGACCATTTACATTTATAGTTAACTTATCTTGGATGTTTATGGGTAAGGCAGGATATTGAGTGCTTTTTCCTTCCTTGGAGCACTGTCATTGACCTAAATCGAGGGACTTTTCTTTGTCTTGGTTTTTCTTTTGTAAAATGTGATGATCTTTTACCAGTATGCCTTCTGTTTACAATATCTACAATTGTCCTCATTAATAAAGGTAGTCAGTTGGGAAGTGGGCCATCTAGCTGCTTGATCTGCAGGGCTGTGACTGTCAGGTTATTCAGAGAAACAGAACCAATAGGAGATGTATGTATGTGTACACATACACACACACACGTATATCTTAACTAATATATATATATTAGTATATATAATTTATATATATATAAATTTTAAGAAACTTGCTCACTCAATTGTGGGAGCTTGCAAGTCCAAAATTTGTAGGACAGGCTGGAAACTCAGGTAAAAATTGAAGTTGCAGTCTTGAGTCTAAAATCTATAGAGTAGGCCAGCAGGCTGGAAACTTGGGCAGAGTTTTTATGTTACAGTCTTGAAGTACTATTCCTTCTCTCTGAGAGACCTCACTTTGTGCTCCTCAGGCCTTCGACTGATTGGATGAAGCCCATCCACATTATCAAGGGTAATCTTTATTTAATGCAGCCGTCCCCAACCTTTTTGGCACCAAGGACCAGTGCTCCAATGAGAATCTAATGCCTGATGATCTGCGGTGGAGCTGAGGTGGTGATGCTAGCGCTGGGGAGCAGCTGCAAATACAGATGAAACTTTGCTGGTTTGCCTGCCGCTCATGTCCTGCTGTGTGGCCTAGTTCCTAGCAGGCCACGGACCAGTACTGGTCTACAGCCTGAGGCTTGGGGATCCCTGATTTAAAGTCAATTGATTGTGGACAGTAATCACATCTACAAAATACCTTCACAGCAGCATCTAGACTAGTGTTTGACCAAACAACAGGGCAGCATAGCCTTGCTTTTCTTCTTTTGCAGGATCGAATACTGTCCAATAGATGTTTTGGGCATGGCTTTTAGGAGATTTTTGCCCTACTTTTTTGAGTCTGTTTTTGACCTTCTAGTTTATTGTGGAAAGAGGAATTTAGGTCAGTT